CAGGGGTGATTTGGTGATGGGAAACCCGTGGGGATTACAATTGAGATGAAAAAAAAATGTGCAAAATGATGTAAAAATAAACTTTTTAATAATAAAAAAAAAGGGGGGGGGTGCTTATCTAATTGCCAGAATGGCTACTTCTTTCATGGAACACCTATGTGAGTAGCTCTTGCTCTCAGGAGATGCAAAGATTCAGGCACCGCTGATCCAGCCAAATTTTTTTGCCCCTTTCTTACTGGTTCCACTTCCACCCATCTTCCATATACCCAACACAGCATGCCTCTGTTAATCTTTTTAATAGACTGATAGATTGATTTATGTTATAGTAATATAAAAATAATGATTTTAACCCCCAGCTGACATCTGTACCATAACAGTTTTCCATTCTTTCTTCCTAATAGGTGACAGAGCTGAATGAACCACTGTCCAATGAAGAAAGAAACCTCCTTTCTGTGGCCTACAAGAATGTAGTTGGGGCACGCCGTTCTTCCTGGAGGGTCATTAGTAGCATTGAGCAGAAGACCTCCGCAGATGGTAACGAGAAGAAGATAGAGATGGTCCGTGCCTACCGTGAAAAAATAGAGAAGGAGTTAGAAGCGGTGTGTCAGGATGTGCTGAGCCTTCTGGATAACTACCTGATCAAGAATTGCAGCGAGACCCAGTATGAGAGCAAGGTGTTTTACCTGAAGATGAAAGGGGACTATTACCGCTACCTGGCTGAAGTAGCCACCGGAGAGAAGAGGGCGACCGTGGTCGAGTCGTCTGAGAAGGCCTATAGCGAAGCGCATGAGATCAGCAAGGAGCACATGCAGCCTACTCACCCCATCAGATTAGGCCTGGCCCTTAACTACTCCGTTTTCTACTATGAGATCCAGAATGCCCCGGAGCAAGCGTGCCACTTGGCCAAGACCGCTTTCGACGATGCCATCGCCGAGCTCGACACTCTCAACGAGGACTCCTACAAGGACTCCACTCTCATCATGCAGCTCCTCCGCGACAACCTAACGCTCTGGACAAGCGATCAGCAAGACGACGATGGTGGAGAAGGCAACAATTAAGGCCCCCAGGTGGACTGGCAGCGCACGCTGATGCTACTACTGCAGTCTTTATTTTTTTCCCATGAGTTGGGGGTCGGGTGGGGGAGGGAAAAGGAGGGATGACCTTCCTAGGGAGAAACCCACGACCTGTCCTGTCTTTGATCGCCTCTTTGACATTTTTGCCAAAATACCACTAGTGGAAAGTCAGGCTAGCTGTGCTGGTATTGGAATAGCAGCCTCACACTGGCATATGGACTGTTCTGTAGATTTATGCAAATGGAGCTGTCTGTCTTTAATTTAACTTATTGCTAGATAATAGGGTTTTAAGATGAAAAGAAAACTTAAATGGAATGGCCCTCATTCAATAAGTTCTGTGGTTCCAGTAAGGATTTTTATGTACATATGCTCTTGTCTTAAGTTTTGGGTATTTTCTATCTCATCTTTTTGAACTGTGCATTTTTTTTTTTTTTCAGGGTGTACTCTGCAGGCATGGAATAGTTTAAATCCCAAACTGACAGACTTAGAACATAAGGTATATTCATCCTTATAGCTTAGGCCTTGCCAGTTTTCTGAAATCTCTGATTAGTTGACAGTATTAACACTAAATTACAGTTTACAGTATTTCTACATTACAGCCATATGTAACATCAAGCCATTGATTGTGTATTTTTTCATTTTCCTTTGCTAGTGATTTCGGCTTAACATCCATATTCAGCCTTATCCAGGTTGGTTTTGCTGTTCTCTGTCTCCTCAGCCAAAACCCTTGCCTGGGGAGAATCAAAGCTACTCTACGTTTTGGTTAATAGGTGCTTGGCAGGTGGCTGTGGGATTTTTGTCCTTTTTTCTTCTTAACTTAAATCCACCACAGAAATTATTAATCACTTTAATAGAAATGTTAAACACCACAAAAATAGAGAAAATTCAGGTCTGTATGTCATTTATTGTGTTGATCTTTTCAGAGAATATCCTGATTTTAAGCTGCCACAGCTCCTTCCTCAGGGATTATGCTGCCATTTCACTCTTCACTTGAGTCTTTCCCACTGTACCTTATTCTGATGCTTCTCAGTTGGGTTGAGAAGCTGTTGAGTTGTAGAAGCTGTTGGTGGTCATTTTGAGAACAGTGTGGTGCAGTGTGTGAAAATTCAGGTGCTAGAAATTTACTGGTAGAAAATCCAAAAGGAAGAGCTCTATTCATAATAAACATTCTGTCCAATTTCGGGAGCCTTGTAAGTGTGTCAGTTTTTCCTCCCTGAAAACACTTTTCACCAGGTAATTGTTTATAGGAAGGTAAACTAAAATCATAATAAACACTTAACTCCTATTTGACCAAAACCTTTTCTACATATTTTTTCCTTTTTAACAAAAGCATTGAATTTGGAGATTGATTTCTCTCTTCTGCAATCAGTGCACATTTTGGAATTGACGGAAACTACATTGCTATTTCCACAGATTTGTTTTCAGTTAACCTTAGATCCTTTGTCCTCATTTTTGATAAATCTGTCTGAAAACATGACCTGTTGCATGTGTGTTCAGTATTTTCCCTGAGATCAGTAACAGTGTGAACTCCCGAGATAGGTGATGACACCAAGATTTGTTTTGTTTATTGTTGTTGGGTTTTTTTTTTTTTAGACAAGGGAGAGGTCTGAGTAATAGTTGAGGAAAAACTTGAGTTGCTTTTGCTACTACCAAAATTGACCTTATAGTTACAACATGGATAGGTTTTAGTAGGATCTAGTGACAGTGAAGATAGAATGATGATAATACTCTGTCAACAGTGCACAGTTTTCCCAGCATGACTTTCCTTAGAAGGTCCCCTCCATGTTAGAGTGCAGGTCCTGCAAGAACGAATAAGAAAGCCTTGCTGCTTTTGTACCACTTAGGGGCTTAACGACAATGCCATGGATGGGAAAAGGTGGGGGGTGGGGGAGGGCTTTCCTTGACTTATCTTCATGTCCAGTGAGCAGTGTTGTGTCCTTCCTTGTAGCATTTGGAAATGATTTACTGGAATTACAAAACCTATTTTCCTTTTAAATTTCAGCTTTGGCTCTGGCTGCTTTATAGAATAATGCAAGATAAAATCATACCTGAGGGCTAAAATTGAAGAGGAATGGGAGACTTGGTATTTAAGCAGCTGAATGGTTTCTTTTCTTTTCTTTATTTTTAAAGAAATGCACTTGCCTATGATACTGTCTCTCCAGTGAAATGATTACTCCTCCATTACTCTATTGATACAATATTGTGCATGCTAGTGTTGTATTTCTATACAGTAGCTTGAAATTTATTAACTTATACTGTAGATGTTATGTATTCCTATGACAAAAAAAATTAAGTCTTCAAATTTTTTAAAGTTTTTTTAATTTAATTTTTCCTTTTGGGGGTAAAGTTTGCTCTACCAAATAGTGATCGTAACAAATGATCTGTTTTGGATGTTGCTATAGTGACATGCAGTTATATATTTTGTTTTTAAGGGGGGGGGGGAGCAAAAGAAACACCAGTGTTAGCTTAATCTTAATGTCTGGTGTTTGTCATGGTGAAATTATAACTATTACAGTGTAGGAGAACAATGAATATGTTCTCTGAATGAGCCTTTGTGCTTTTGTCATGTTATGCAGTGAACTATTTTTAAGGTCTAATCAGTGATTATTTTTCCAACTCCGTGTTTCTCTAAAGAATTATTTCACACACGGACCATTCTTAGCAGTTTTCCTCAGTGATGGAATATCATGAATGTGAGTCATGTAGCTGTCGTACATTGAGCAAATAAACTTACAGATCTGATGTGCGTGCTACTTAGTTTTATTTAATGAGTTTAATTTTTTTCCTTGCTTCTGAAGGTTGGTTGGACATGGTATTCTTCCCCCCCACCACATTCAGTAAAGTTGGATTGGGGCAAAGAGGCAAGTCAGTGTATGCTGGAAAAGAGGCCTAATCGGGGCGTCAGACCTGGGTTAATTGACATTGTTAAATCTTGCACCTTTGGGGCCTCCATTGTTTTCTAGAATGAGCACTTCAGCTGGCTCTCTGAAGGCCTCTGGAGGGTGCGCTTTGTGAGGAGCACAGACCTGAGTTTGAATGCGGCTCCTTTACTCTTTGGGTAGCTAACAGCTTACAAGCTTGGGGCTGTTGGTCTTAAAGGAACACCAGGTCAGGTGCCTGCCTGATTTGGTAACCCTCAGTGCTGGTATTGTTGGAGGTCTCACTGCTGCTTAGATGAGGAGGTTCTTTGCACTTAAAAACATTCAAAAATAGTTTTGGGTTTTATAGTCCTTTCGAGGTGGTGGTTAGCATTGGTTGGTGTTGGCTGAGTTCTCAAAAGTCAGCTGTGCTAACAGCTGCATCAGACTTTGCCCACTGTGAGGATGGGGGTCCCTGCGCTGAGCAGCTGTGGGGAGGGATCTGTCTACAGGAAGGAATGCCATCAGCTTGGTTGTTCTCCAGCTCGGGGGTTGTATGTCATGGATGCTTTGGTTCACACAGTGAAAATGGATGGTGCTTCAATTTTCTAAACAAATTAATTCACATTCATTCTCTTACCATGCTTTGCCACAACTGAACGCTCCTGTGTCGCCTTGTCTGTCACACAAAGCCACTGGAGAGTGCTGCTGGTGGGAGGCTGCAGAAATAGGCGTGACCACTGTTTTTAAGGGCCCCAAAAACCCACACTGGCGTGCACATACCTTGTCCTGACCTTTGCTTCTAACATTGGGTTGCTCGTGCGCAGTTAGGAGATAAGAAAGCAAGCAGCTCAGAAGGCTGGGCCTGGCAGGGTGGGGTTGTTTGCGGTAGAGAGGAATCCAGCGTGGCCTTGCCAAGTACAGATAAGGACAAGTTGGATGACTGATCTTATTTAAATTAACAGGCTCACCAAGGCTCTTCAAAAGGGTTATCTCCTGGAGGTTGCTGCTGTTGAAACACACGCTGTTGCTTTGGTGTGTCTGGGATCTGACTTAAGACTGGAATTTACTCAGAGGGTTTCCACAGATACTTTACTTTCTATTGATAAAATGCTGTCACAAATTTCTGTTTAAAAGATTGATTTATACATATAGATCTGGGGTCCAGGCCAGAGGTGTGGGGGTGGGAGGAGGTGAAAGGACCCACCAGAGACAGAGTGGGGAGTAGAACAGGCAGATGTACTGAAACACTGCTGCAGAGAGAGTGGGTGGATCAGGAGAGGTCTGCTGTGTCACTTGGGTTAGCAACCTGGCTAGGGATCAAACTCCATGCTGCAGTGGCTGCGAGAGCTTCATAGTGCTGTGCTTTAACCCATTGTGCTAGGGAGGGACCTCTACCCAGTTTTTAAGAATCTGGCCTCCTTTACATAACTCTTGAGCTTTTTTAAAATGTGAGGGATGTCAGAGACTAGAAATTAAAATTTTCATTAGTTTAAAAATAATAAAACCCAATACATGTTGAACTTTATAACAAATGAATGAGAAGTGAGGGCGCCTAAACAAAAAATAGAGGGGTGGCATTAATTTACAGTTATGCAGGTTTCTGTAGAAGTCATCTGGACGCTCAGCTGCTTCTGCATGAGATCTGCAGAGTACATCATCTGAAGTATCTAGGCACAAATCTGGCATCATAGGAATAAATAGTTGGGGAAAGAGGGCCCTAAAGGGTTGAGATTAAGAAAGTTCTCCTAATTCAGGAATTGAATGATGCGCCGGGTTAGTCGCCCGCAGTAGGGTTCTTTCCTCTGTGCATGCTAGGATTAAAATAATAGTATAAAGGTGATGGATAGGGAGGAGGAGAGTAATTACCCAGGAGTGAGTAGTCTACTCACAGGGTTCTCCATTCCTAGAACTTTGGGGGTGGGGTGGAGGGGACCTTTCAGTGTGGCTAGTAAGTGCTATTTAGTATGGTGCAGTTGTACTGTGCTCTATTTATGTGTAATTACCACACACTCTGGCCTCTGAGCTGGTCAGCTGAGACTGCATGTTGGTCCACACTGGACAGTCCAGGAGTAAGAGTGGCAGCTCCCTCCTAGTGCAGAATCCACGCAGGCTTGGAGAAACAACCTTTTGGAAACTTAACTGGTAACACTTTTCTATTTCTAGGAGTTGACATTAAGTAGTCCCCAGCCTAATCACATTAAGTGTGGTATCCCAGCTTGCTAATTATAATTAGTCTGCTGGTTTGAATTTTCCAGTTCCAGTATGGGTGAGTGTGGTCAACTTTGAATGGCAACAAACCCGACCTCTAATTAACCAGCTACCTGTGGTCAGTGAGGAGTTGGGGTGACAGTAGTTTGGTCACGCTGATGAGAGTCCTCAGTATCAGATCATGTTTGTTGGTAACTTATCTTCACGCAAACCAATGAATAAGGATTTCCTAATTTAACCAACATGCTGAAGTGGCTCTCATCATATAAAGGGTTAGCCTAAAGGGTTAGCTTTGAGGAAAAAAGGGTTTTTGCATTTTAAGAAAGCCTGTGGGCCCTCCCTGGTGGCGCAACGGGTTAAAGCACAGCACTATGAAGCTATTGCAGCCACTGCAGCAGGAGTTCGATCCCTGGCCAGGGAGGCGACCCACACGGCATGGCAGACTTGTCCCAAACCACCTGCTGCTCCCCTCAGCAGTGTATTTCAGTCCATCTGCCTGTTCTACTCCCACTCTGCCACTGAATCTCATCACCACCACCCCAACACCTCTAGCCTATAGCCCAGTTCTGTATGCATAAATAAATAAATCTTTGAGAATATAAAGGAAAGCCTATAAGAAAGATGCCCAGAAATGGTTTGGGCAGCCCAAAACACTTGGTCTTTCCCACTTGTCTAGCCGTTTGGCCACACCTTGTTTATCAGGAGCATGCCCGTGCCTGTTGCCCACCACCCCTGTCCCCTCCCTACAGGTGTCACTGTTCTCCATTCTTGGGTGGCCTTGGTTTGAGACTTGACTCTGGTTTTCAGACAAGGACTTTTGCTGCTTTTGAGCACTAAATGGCTTTTAGATTATAAAAGGTTTTAGGACTTTAAGTATGGATAACGGAAATTTGGTGGTTAAATCCTTGAGTTAAATTTAACCCGGTTTAGAGGGCAGGTAGACATGTTTTAGCAAGCCCTTGGTGGTTTGGGGGCATTTGATTCCCAATTTTTCATTTAGAAAAACATGAAAGTTGCAAAGGATGTTGCCAGTGATAAATAAACACCCGTACTCCACATGGCAGCTGACATTTTGTCTATTTGCTCTATATTTATTAGCTGTGGAACCTTAAAAGAAAGGTCCCATATTTTTACTCCGTATTTCTTATATAACCATCATATTTGTAATCACATTTCAGGAAAATAATCCTCAATATCAGCACCTATTCTGATTTCCCCAAGCTGTTGCCAGAGTGCCTTTGATTAGCCATTCCATCCACCCTCTACCACCACCAGATTCTGATTAAAATTCATTAATAGGATTTTATCATTGGGTTTCTTTAGCCTTTACTCCTACTTACCAAGTTTCCGAAGACACCGGGCTGCTCGATGATCTTAACAAAATATTTTACACTCTGGGCCTGTCAGTTGTTCTTGTCATTTTATTTGTTCCCATCCCTAGGGGGACCTTTTTTTTGCTTTGCACAAGGATTTTGCTTTGTCCTCCATCCAACCTCTTAGTAGTATAGGTGGAACTAAATTTGAATTGGAGGGTGGTCAACCAGGAATCTCCCCTAGAATTAGGTGATCTTTACTTTACCAGTGGGCAGCACAAGGACCAGTTTCCTGAGCCCAAAAGGATTAAGTTGCAGCTCTGAGCCATAGGCCCGGGGAGTGCCTGCCACCCACAGAACCATCTTGCTTTTCCCATTGGTATCTTCCAGGCCAGGGTGTTTAGCCTCCTTAAAACCTCTCCTGTCTCCCCTGGATGGGAAATGTTTGGTGCACACTTTGACTTGCCAAACTATCTCACACGGGCACTCCCTTGTCCTGGTGTCCTGGTCAGCAGCTGCTGCTGCCCCACACTTGAACATAGTGACAGAACCACAGCCACCATGTTACCTGGAGTGGTTGGGAACAGGCAGATGTAGGTGTTTCAGAGATGATGCCTCATTGGAGCTATAATAGGAGACTCTAGATTAGTTTTAACACAATCTTGGTGATAATAAATTATTCCCACATGAGAAGACAAATTATCCTACTCAAATACGGACCAAGAAAGACAACACAATCGTCTACCTCTTTCTCCTTCAAGCCTGAAGCCACATTTTGATGGAAGGCTTACTAAAGCAAATCACTTCCCAAAATACAAAAGTACTTCCTGGGCTATAATTAATCATTTACAAGTGACTTTTGCCTGCTCAGTTCAGAAATTAAGTTTTGTTTTTTTTTTTTTTAATCCTTTTTGGGAATGTTGCAGACCTTCAGCGATAATGTTGGAGAGGTTTGGGTGGTGGACAGAATAAAAATGTTCTCTTTCCCGGAGTTAGGATCTGACATTCAAAATGGAGACATCAACTTTGGAAACAATAACTGGATAACAGAATATATGGGAGGAGCAGCTTATAGCTGCCTGCTGAACATTTTGGATGAGTCCTTTTCCTAAATCTTAAATACTGCTCAGATACTTAAGATCAAACCTACTACATCCTGGCGAAGGCGAAAGGAGCAGTACTAATTGCTTCAGAACACGAGTGCACCAGCAATGACTGGTCTCCATTACCAAGTGGTGCAGGGACGCTGGTTTGCAGGGCCCTGGGATTGGATGGGGGATTTCAGTATCCACGCCTGGGTGCACGGTCCTCCCAACCCCGCTAGAGGCTTGGCCCAGGGTGATGGCCTCTGCTGCCCCCG